CGTGCGCAGCAAGGCAGAGTAACACTTGAAACCGGAGCCCTCCATAACTTTTTCCTCCAGAAGGCGGAATCCACCGACAGAAAGTACCTTGTGCTCGCCCCGCTGCTCCTTGTTACTGGGGCTGCCTTCACCTTCCTCTACCTGCACTACCAGACGACTGGGCTTCATAGGGTTTAGGGATAGGTTTCAGGTTCAGAGAAAGGGGTTAAGAGGATCGGCTTCAGGGTTTCCTGGGCACCCCCCCCCCCCGGCCCCGATATGACAGTACTACATGGAACCTGCATCATGAGGGAGGTGCATTTTTTTACTGGGAAGCTTCAGGAAGGCTTCCAGGGTCAGCGCTTGAGAGCATTGCCAGTGGTTAAAGGCCGGCTGGAGATAACTTTGGGTTTTAGGGCCATGGGGGTTTCTCAAAAAATGCAGTTTGTGTCTAGGGCTGGCACAAAATGAAAGAAATCAAGGGCGCAGAAGGGTTCTTGGTTTCAATTCCAAAATTACCCCAAACCCCAAAACCTAAACACTGAACCCTGAACCCTAAGCCCATTAATCTAACCCCACGGGTTCATTAGGTATACACTTTGCTGCTCTCTGTGCTTTTAGATAGCGGGTGACTGCAACAGGTTGCTTGCAGGGTCAGGGGATTAAGTTTAGGGTTCAGGTATAGGGTTTAGGGTTTAGGGTATAGGGTTTAGGGGTTTAGGGGTTTAGGGTTTAGGGTGGTGGACCTCAGACCAGGCGATGCATGGAAGCCTGTTTTAAAAAGGGGTTTAGGGTTCAGGGTTTCATCTTGCCACGGGAGCCTCTTAAAGGGGAGTTGCTCCTGGCTGCTAGCAGTCAGGAAGGCCCGTTGCTCAAAAAGGTTTTAGGGGATAATTGGGTATATTAGATGGGCTAAAGGGGATATTTGAGGCTTACTAAGACCCCCTGACCCTGCAACTGATATTTGGGAGTACTTGGAGGCTGAAGGGCGGCTTAGGATGTGTGATGATAGGTAGGATGACTCATGGTTATAGCATGTTATAGCCACACTATGTTGCTGAAGCAGATCTTTATGAACAGATGAAAGCAATTCTCCTTGCAAAATGGAGGCACCTTTCGATTAACATCAGAATTGTCTTCATGTTGGGGATCTCCAAAGAGGGGCCCATGATAGTAAGACATTCCTAAAGGTCCCGCAGTTGCTGAGGAAGAGGACCGTTTCTGCCCGCGCAGTGGGTGGCGAGTACCTGCTGCAGATGGAGCCGTGAAAAGGCTGAGCGCTTGTTTGCAAGTTTCTTCTGTGCATGCTGTTTGGGTGCTGCCGGACACCGTAGCTTGCCCAGCTGGTGAGGATGGGTAGGAAATCTGGTAGATCCCACAGGCCAAGCAATAAGTGCCCTGGCCTCTGTGGGGAACTCTGTGGAAAGTCGTCATACATGGCGATCCTCTTGACCGCGGCCTGGCGACAGGGTTGGGGACCCAGGTTCGCTCCTGAAAGCAGAGATGGAAAGAGGCATAGTACCACCGGCAACCGCTTCAGTGAGAAGACTTGAAGTAGAGATGGCAACCTGCTGGACAAAACAAAAACTCGATTTTCTGGTCCCCAACCCAGCTTGATTTCGCAGGAGCAGCTCAGGATGGTCATAGCGCAGCAACTACTAGGAGTGGTCCACCATTTTTTGGTACCCAAAACATGCAAGCTGACATATCCTCCTAGATCATGGTCGGCCCTGTCAGGCTACCACACATACCGCCTGTCATGTGTACACAAGGTCGCAAGGGCATGCCGCCAACGTAGGCCCTTTGTAGTTGAGATTGCTACACAGGTCAGCAGCAGGGACTGTCACTGACACGTTTGGTTTGGGCATCATTACGTCACCAGCGGACAGAGACAAGTAATGCACTTTTGCTATCTCTGGACTGAGCAGAAACTTTTGAGCATCATGCTCGCTCAGTAAGTTGTAGTCTCCATTTTCTGTTCCATTATTGCTATATATCCCCACATATCTCTACATAGCCTCCTCAACGTTCTTATTCTGCATTCCTGTATGGGTTAGAAGCATTAGGAACTTCCAAAAATAAGGGTGCTTTTTGGGATGAGTATTCAGTTCGTTGTAAAGCCATCGATGGGAGATTACCGAAAACTTCGCGTACGCCGTAGGTTCTGCAACAGTTCATTGAACATTGTGAAGCCTGAGCCCCGAGGCCATCTGAGCGCATCTAACCCTACTAAAGCTTGGGTTTGGGTTTTCGGGTTTAAGCTACCATACAATGGGTATACAGTATATATAAATCCTAAACCTTCAAACGCTTCAGCCTTCACCCCAAACCCTAAGTCCTCAATACCAAATCCCCACAGCACTACGAAGGGCCTCGTGCGACCTCCAGCATTTTGATTCGTATTGAGCGGAGTTGAGCCCGCTTGAAGCCTTTGGATCGTTCGCGAGCGTGAGTCTGTAGGTACCCAAGGAATGCAAAGGAGTTAGGGTTTGGGATGCTAAAGGGTTAGGGTTTAAGGTTTAGGGTTCAGAGGATTTAGGGTTTTGGATTTAGCATTTATTAGAAAAGCTGAGGGGCTGGGGTTTGTATTGGGAATATATGGGGCCCCTCATCAAGGAGCTAGGAGTAATTTTTAAGAACCTGGCTGGCAAGCCCGCAGTGCTCGTGTGCCTTTCGTAAGACTACCTGCAAGGGAGGCCTAATCACCGAAGCAACTTGAGCGATCCCCGCCTGAAAATCCCTCATTGACATATTTATGTTGCACTCCGGTAGGAAGCTGGCAGAAAAACTGCAGGTGAGATGTAGGGTTTAATGTTAAGGGTGTGCCGCCAACAACCGGAAAAATCCAACACACAGGTTCAGCCGAAAGATCCAGGCCGACCAGCCCCCCAGTCTTTCAAGGGGCTTGGCCCAGACGCCCAGGTGTGTACCCCTGCGGTTATGGACGTTGAAGATAGGAACGTTGAAGGCGGAGATTCACATTTCAAGAATATTCGATCTATTCAGGTTTGAACCTTTGGCTCAAACCCTACCCCAGTGTACTAGATCTATGGTCCTTCTTATACGCACCCCGCAGATCAGGGACCAAAACCCTTTAGCGCTAAAACCACTCTAAATCCTGAAAAGCACAAAGCCCCCTAAACCCCTCAAACTCTCTAAATCCCCTAACCTTTCCTCAGGGGTACAGCTAAAGGTGTCTTGCCTCCGGGCCTCTTGACTCTTGAGCTACGCCCAGGAAGCTCTGGGTGTAGAGCCGCATGCCTCCAGGGACTCTTGGTTTAGGGTTTGTAGTTTAGGATCTGGTTGGAGTTTAGGGTTCATGGTCTAGGTTCTCAGGTGCTTGGGGACGTAATCTAGGGCCTCTATGGTTGTAGGGCGTAGGGTCCAGAGTAATCTTCATCAGGCACGCATCTAGTTTGACATTGCCGGTATTGTTTCTGGCACGTTTAGCCCTACGATTAGGGAATTCTGCAACCTTACTGTCCCTAGACGCTAAACCCGAAACCCTAAACCCTAACTATGGTTACGATTCTGGCTTGTACGACCGCCACTTCGCTACCCCTGGCTTGCGCGCGCTGTTGCCATGAGAATCCTTGATGCGTGGGCTTAGGGTTTAGTTCACAACAATTTGTCTTCTTCTTACTTCTAGGTGGTTGGCCCTTATTGAAGTACTCTCCTACTGGCTACCTTGCCATAATTGGTATTCAAGAATGGGATTTAATGTTCTCTTCCAAAAAAGTGGCAGCAGGCATCTAGGAAGCCTATGCGAATCTCTGGAGGCCTGGGCAGAACATGAAGATGGCTGCTCCGTGCAAGTTGTGCTTGGACAAAAAGAAACACAAACATCAGGTGGACTCCCCACCCAGCAATAAGGGATGATCGTGATTACATTAGGGTCCTCTTATACTCCTGTTATAAGATTATGACAGGGTGGAGGGTCCTCCTAACACGTACAAGAGTTACTTAGCCACGAAGCTGAACCCTAGAAGCTCCTACGGGTATTTGACTAGCAGCCAAAAAAAGGAATTCGCTGGGACGTGAGTTGTGTGTTTACAGACAGAGAGCTCGAGACCTCAGACTTCAAGCCCCATCAAGTACAGGGTGCTACTTACAAACATCTCCAGCCTAGAGCCGTCATATAACGGGTGGATCTTTTGGTATGAGAGGGTTCATGTGAGTTGCATCGGAAATGGGAACGTTTTTGCTGCCAACATAGCGTAAGATGATAACCTCCTTTCTGTCACGGTATTCTAGAGAAAGGAATGCAATCTTCTTGGTTCAAAGACCAAACAACACTGCCCATGTGTCCGCAGATACGGGATCGCACGTAGTGGCAACAGTAGTCTCCGAGCGCGGCCGCGCCGACGAAAGCACCTGAGCTGCAGAATTTGCATTTCAGGCAAGAACTAAGAACTGCCCAGTAGATAAGCATGTGATTATGCCCTTTCTTCTGCTCTGTCTACCCTAAAGCCTAAACTCTAAACGCTAAACCCTAACCCTGCTGCTATTGTTATGACTTTTGGATGTTTTGTGTTCAGGCCTTCGGGACCAAGGTCTACGTCTCGGGATGAGGGATTCTTGAAAGATGGACTCTAGTTTTGTAAGGTTTGAAGTGTGGGCCCTAATGTGGGCCCTTAAAGCTCTTTAGAGAGATTCTAGGGAGCCTTATGGGTACATGTAAGTAAGGGTATAGAGTGGGTAAGTATAAGATTCCCAGAGTTAAGGGCCCATACCAGGGGCCCATGGTGTTAACGTTAGATAGTTTTGTTTGGTTCTGAAAAACTTGATTTGGGGAATCTTCAGGAACAGATGTAGGAGGTGTTTTTCTTTCTTTGGTGAGTGTCTTTGCAGGGTTTTCAAGGAACATTGGCCAGTGCTTATGATTAAAAAATACACAAGTCATGGTGTTTCGCAGTGCCTCCTCCTCCCCTTCTGCATACTTCCCTGCTTCCTCGAACTCTTCTCCCACCAGTCATTGCCTCTTGTTGTCTAGCTTGAGCCCTCTCCCCCCGGCTGAGGTCATGTCGTCAATGTTGGCCTTCCTCCTGCTTCCCACAGCCATGGCTGCGGGTGCCGGTGACTACGGAAACTACATCGCGAAGTACGGAGACTTCCACAAGCACCTTTGATGTATCAGTATCAGCTGGGGAGAACATTGAAACCCCCTGCCCGCTAAACTTGAATATTTCGAAATGGGAATATCTCCTTGATCCCTTCACCCGAAGCCCTAAAGCTTAAACCCGTGGGCTCATCAAGAGAAACTGTACTTTTGTTCTGTCACCACATGTGGTTCCTGCCTGTCAGAGATACGGGCCCTAGACCCTAAACCCTCAAGCGAATCTCCCAGCCCCTGCAGAAACAGTTCAGGCTATTGGGTTCAGAGTTTTCTCTTGCGTGGGGCCACGCAAAACGACAGTTTCAGGATGGCGTCCCCGCTCCTCGACAGGAGGAAAGCGCGCAAAAACATGGAACCTCCTGTGAAATGGAGGAAACAGGAGGCAGATACCAAAAATGGTAAGGAAAGTCCTGAATGCTTATGAATAATTCATTTGGCATCTTGTCATGACGCAAACCCAAACCCTCAAGAGTGTCAGGTACATCAACGAGTATGCGGGCAATTATGCCGGCAGCTATGCAGGCAACTATGCCAGCGACTATGTGCCTTCTCAGGGCCAGGCGGGCGCCGGGTATCCTAGTCTAGTTTCCATGTTCACTCTGCAAGACAAATGGGGCTTTCCAAGCATTCGGGGCCCAAGTTTGGGAGTCCCTGCAATGAGGAGTATAGAGTATTGGGGTACACATTGAAGTCACGGTACTTGTGGCAATTACAGGCTCGCTACATGGTAGTACGAATTTTAGTCATGAGACATGCGTAGCACACGCCTAGCCAGATGCCCAAGCGGAAAGCAACTGAAGAAACTTTTCAGAGCCCACGCATAGCAGATAGCATCGTATCTAACATGTGGTAGTTTTCATAAATGGGTGGACCCCAATAAAGACCCCACTATAGACCCTACGATGTTATACCTCTTATTGTATGGACCCCCAAGAAGGGACCCTAATTTTGGGAACCCCCGTGTTGGCATCATGTCTAAACTTTAAACACGAAGCAACCGCAAAGCCAGGTGTCCTGAATCCCCCATGTGTGTGGTATGGCTGTCTAGTCCCAAGCCCCGAACCGCTGGCATGTTGGTATCTCTGTGTTGAGGGTTTGGCACAAAGTGTAGTTATGAGTTATAGGTTCACTTTAGAGGACGCGTGCCAAGAAACCCCGCGTCACAAACCCGAAGCCCCAAACCCGAAACTGGCCAATTCCAACAAACCCTAAAGCCCCGACAGCCCGAACCGCAAACCAAATCCCAAACCCCAAGCCCTTCAACCCCAAAGCCCACCCCTAAAGCCCCAAAACCCTGAAAACCCAGAGCCCTAAAAAATCCTAGACATCTGAGACCGAAACCCGGGAGGCTTCCCAGAAAGCCTCTGCGGTGAGCCTTGCCGCCTCCCCGAGTGGGGGTTACCAGGCCGGCAGAGAGTCGGAAGTGCGGAGAGTTCAAGATAATTGCTTGGTTTAAGGTTTAGGGTTTAAGGTTTACGGTTTTAAGAGTTGAAGGTTTGGGGTTTGCAGCGTTGAGGGTTTTAAGGGTTTTTAAGTGTTTCGGGTTGAAAGGGTTTTAAGGGTCGGAAGGGTTTAGAGGGGGCATTTCACCCAGATCATGGTTGAGAGGAGCGTGGGATTGCCTGTGGGCTCCTGCGTTGTGGATGTATTTTTGGCGACAAGCATCGGTCCTGTGGCAAAATGGTTTGAAGGGTCTAGGGATCACAGCGAACAGTTGAGGAATTGGGGATTCTAGTTCAGGGTTGATGGTTTATGGCTTTATTTGTCTGGGTGTTGGTCTGTTGGGGTTGCCAAAGGCCCTAAACCCGAAACCCTAGACTCCAAACCCTAATCAGTTTGGTGGTCTATTTTGGTTCCAGCTTCTTAGCCGTGGTCGCGCTGTTTTCTTCGAGCATTGAGCATGTTGTTGTTTTTTAGGTGGAAGAGCTGGCTTTAGCCTGTTGGGTGTCTGGCAGTGTCTGAGCCTTTTTTGTTGGGGTATCATAGACTGGGTTGCTGTTAAGG